AGGGTGTTACTTATGCAGAGGCGGTGAGAAGGGTTGATGGTGGAGTAGGAGGGAACGCTCCCTCTGTTGCTGTTACAGAAGGACCAACAGTGAATGTTCCCATTACAACGTGGGGTCCCCAGCAACTGTGCTTTGACAAATCCAGGTTTCAGGACTTCATCACGATGGTTGTAAATTGTGCTGGGCAAAAATTGACATTGCTTTAGAAGCGGCTGAACGTTTTCTGGAAGTTCGAGACCTATCTGCGGACGATCTACAGAAAATGTTGGCAGAAGAAGTACTGCCCTCCCAGGCCCAGGCCCGTGGGTTTAGGAGGGATACATTTATCTGATCTCTGTAATTGATCTGGTCTTTGGTTAGTGAGATAGGGGTGGGTATTGTAGACCGAAAAGTGTTAAAACTGTTTTAATAACTATTATAATAAATGCAACAGTTGGACAATGGATGAAGATACTCCAAACTTTTAGAATTTTCATAATCCATCAGCTATTGACTGAATTATATTGCACATAAAACATTTAACTGGTATGAACAAATAATGAATGGAGTTCATTGATTTTGGTGGGAATTCAGGTATTCAATTTATTGTAAAATTTCACGTATTTTTTTCATAGAATGCACTCATATCTACATTTTCTTATTGTATCAGGTATTTTTTCATATTTTGTGTTAAAATAAAGACAATTATATGTGCCTCATTTGCATAGATACACCAGGTATACTGTATTTGCATATATGTCTCGACTGCCTCATTAGTTACTGTTGTTGTCACATTTTCTTGCATACTTCAACAAGTGTGTCAATAGCAGGATTACAAATCAACAGGCTTGGATTACACCTATCTAAACATATTTTTGCGAGATCAGACATAATATCACTATAATCCGAGTGTTCATTTTCGGAAGTTGCTTTCATTTCAGCGCATCTAATTTGTAAACATTTCAACTGTATTAAATTATAACTTTTTTCAGTTCTACTAAAAATAAAACCCTCATCTAAATAAAGTTATCTTCTTCTCTTTGTTGTGATGTAAGTTCGAGACGGTGCGTTAAATCCCAGACGAAGCTTCAGCGTTCTTCTAGGTCTGGGATGGGCAACTTTGATGGGGGCTGGGGCCACAAAAATCTGAACTCAACGGGAGGGGCCGCAGTTGCTTGCGGGTCTGCGTGCCCACATCCATTCACGATATGATATCTGAGTGAGACTAACTAACAAAATCAATGGGGGCCACCAGCCGGTAATTCTACCATGATAACAAGTTTAGAATAGCTGGCCGCTAAACTAATTTAGCAATCTAAAATAACGTTAGCTGACATGGGCTAATTGACTGACTATCAGTGACTGACATAACAAGAGAAAAACTGCTGATGCACATTCACATTTTGAAATTGCACCTTGTGTATTCTACTATTCTAACTCGCAACAGTAAATTGAGATCTCGACTGAGGGTGAAAAAGGAAGAACATAACAACAGAGCAGAGAGACTGAGTTTAGGGTCTGACTGTTCTCTACATGTTAAAATATCTAATTGTCTTTCTCGGTCTTATCATGCACACCAGAGACAGATCTAAAGCCTGATGGATCAGTAACATTAAGATGCTCTCTGCTCGCCTATTATGGACTTATTATGGAAAGTGTAACCCACTCATCATTAGTGGTGTTACTCTGAGCTGGGTGGATTAGATCTGCAGGGAGACTCCAGACACCAGGTCACACAGATGTCTGGCTGTGACATCACTCTGACTGTGGCAATCCAAAGGGAAGACAACAACAAGAAGTGGATGTGTCAGCTGACTAAGAATAGAAAAGTGGGGACCTTCCTGGACACCTCTACATTCTCAGGTAACATGTATATCTCCCATTTCATCAATAACCACTGGGCACACACTGGTTGAATCAACGTTGTTTCCACATAATTTCAATGAAATTACATAGAACCAATGTGGAATAGATGTTGAATTGACGTCTGTGCCCAATGGGTAAGTACATCTGCCACCCTAACATACACTGTAGAAATAGGAACTGGTTCTGTATGAAATGTAAAAAAAATGTTTTACTACTATTAACTACTATCCAGGGAGTACAGCCATTACAGCAAGACCAGCCTTGTCAGCCACCTCCGCATCTTCTGCTGGTATTGTATTTTAGACTATTTCCTTTCTCAGTTGTATAGTAGATTGTTTGAGTGGTACAGCATTGGGCCAAAGTCAGATGTATTGCCTTGGTCAATACAGAGCATGCATTTCTACATGCAACTAAACCTTGATATTAAAGTATTTAACTTTGCTGTGATGACATTCATACTTCTCTCTTCCTGTGTGAATTTCTGCTCTTCTGGGATGCCAAAATACTACTACTCCAGATTTAAGATGTTATATAACCAAAAACATATTTAGTGAATGGTCTGAACAATCAAAGTAACTAACTCATTATGCACAAATGAAAACGCTAAGCTCTATGGTGTTCAGATAGAGGTGAAGTTGTAGAGGTGTTTGGTTGATGGATATTGGTCTTCAGCAACATCTAGTGGCTGTTTTGTGATACAAACTTGACTTTCATATAAATTAATCCAAATGATTGACTGTGTTTAACCAATGCCTGTCTATCTCATTGTTCAGGTACCAGTAATGTTGTTGAGTTGCCCATCCGCATACCGGTAGTTCTCTTTGTGGCACTGACCATCATGTTTGTTGTAGTCACTGTTTACACAACCAGGAGGAGCCGCCTAAAAGCAGGTGAGTCACAGGCATTGGCCAAGTTCCATTTAGTTTCCTAGCTCCTCCTCCTTAGTTCCCACACCTTCAATGTTCACAGATCTGAAAGGACTGGATAGGCCTTAACATTATGAATGGTTCCATCGATTCATCCATAGGCCAATTGTTGGAGCATGCAACTAATTCCTCTCACATATTCTGACCTTCAGATCTATAAACTGAAATGGAATCGGGAGGGAGATTCCTAGATGTGAGAAGAGTGCAGGAGGTCATGAGACAAATGAATGTGTAGTATCAGTGGAAAGAATTGTGTGTGTTAATTGTAGGGGTACCCATGGTACTCACTCTTCTCCCTGTTCTCGACTAGGACATTCAAACTGTCTGTAGCTTTATTGATTGAGTAAGAGAGGACATTATAAATGTTTTTTGACAACTAATGTTAATGATAGTGCATATGTTCTGGAAGATGTATTAATAGTTGTATTATCACCTTTCAATATATTTTTTACATGCCTTTTTGTTATTTTTTTCCTGCATGCAGTAAGGGTGCAGATATCAAAGCATGGTTGATGTGATTTATTTTATTTTCTGTCAGCATGGGGAAATTCGTTGGTTATGTTTAATTCATATTTTCTTGCCTAAGCAGACTTAAAATGAGCACTGCTTTTTCAAAAAATGTTACTGAATTTCTGAAACTGTTTTTTAAATAAATAATACAATATTTCAAACTCAGTGTCAGTTACAGGTGTGTTTTTTTCTGTAGGCTACACTTCCACTATTTATTTAATTTCTAACAAGCTAGTCAGCAGCACTTTTTAGTTATTCCCATTGACATTGCAAATAAAAGGACTGTTGCCTACAGCGTCATTCGAAATGACGCCACATACTACTCCCTTTATAACCTTTACCTGCAACCAAGCTTCTCGCCGGGCGCGGTGGCGCGTGCCTATAATCCAAGCCACTGGGAGGCTGAGGTTGGCGGATCGAGTGAGCTGAGGAGCTCTGGGCTGTAGCGTGCTATGTCGAACGGGTGTCCACACTAAGTTCGGTATCGATATGGTGCTCCCGGGGGAGCCTGGGGTCACCAGGTCGTCTAAGGAGGGGTGCACCGGCCCAGGTCGGAAACGAAGCAGGTCAAAGCCCCCGTGCCGTCCAGTAGTGGGACAGCGCCTGTGAGTAGACGCTGCAGTGCAGCCTTAGCAAGACATCGAAACCTAATCTTTTTCTATTCATTTAGTTTTACTTGTATTTCTCGGTGGCTACTACTGAGATACAAAACCTCGACCATCCCACAACAAGAGTAAAAGAGAAAGCAAACGAACACATTTAGCAGGTACTTGTCTCTGGAAATTGAGAATTATACTGACTCCTACTGACGAAGGGAGTGATAGGAGTAGCTACAGTATTTATAACAGCTGATGTACCACACAAGAACCAGCAGATGTCGTTAATCAAAAGCCCTTTGCTTTTATATTTTTGCAAAACGAAACGCGGAAGTACCCGTTTTATCCCTCAAGTATTCCCGTAGAACTGGGGTCTGCTACATGTACAAATAAGAAAACAAGGTAAACCGTTTAAATTAATCTTTCGTAAGTCACTTATCTCAGTGTTTTGATTAAAGTGTATATGTGCGACATATATTGACTGTTGTCGAGATGCTTCGTTTTGGCATAAGAAGCTAGCAAGCTATTAACCGCAACAAATCAAACGCTAAAAACAAACTCGGCGGCTAGCTAATCTAGCCACCGTTTTCAGTCGACCTTTTTAGCTGCAATTGGAATTAATGTTGGCCAGTAACACAAAGGTAATCTATTGTAGCTGGTGGCATTTGTTATTTTTGGAGAGACAGTAACGTACAGAGCTGGTGGTGTCTTGCTAGCAAGGCGGCCATGTTTATTGATGCTGCATTAGTTAAACATAGCTAGAGGCTGTACAAGTTAGCCAGCTAACTCGGTAGCTTACAGAGATACCTGCAACTATGCAAAGCTTGTGACGTGATAAACACTGCGCTAACGGACTAGCAGCTCAGTTGTTAATTAATAAACTTCGTATATAGCATGTTGTTTTGTTGAAATGTTGGTTGCTAGCTTCAACAAGTGATGTAACTTAGTTAGCTAGTCTATTTAGGTTGACGATGACTTCATGAATGGGAAGCACTGGATGCTGATGAAACCGAGATGATTATTCTCACCCAAACTATAATAGGACATCTCAGTTAACAGCTCATTTTGGGGGTAAGTAATGGATAGTGTGATTTATTCCTACAGATCTCTCAAGGCGTAATCCATGCTTTCAGATGAGCTTGACTCCAAACCCGAGGTAAGAGCTCCACACTATTCACTTGCCAACACAAATACATGGTGGTTTGTATTTGTGGTCTTCCGTTTGCACATACAGATCCACCCTCAGCTACAGAACTGTTTGATGAATTATCTCTTCCTCTCTCTCCCTCCTCTGCTTCTGAAGCTGCTGGTTCAGTTTGTCCAGAACGCGTCTATCCCTCTGGGGCAGGGTCTGGAGGACTCTGAGCCCAAACACACCTGCCTTCCCCTGCTGGCCCCTGCAGACAGCTCCCTGTGCACACAGCTGGCCCTGACAGGTCAGACAGACAGCATCTGACAGCCAATGACTGGATATCATCATAGACAATCTGCCGTATAATAACCTAATGTTTTTCAGATTATATATTGCCACTTGGACTAAATCTCTCTAAGTACCTACTCTCTCATTGGGCCTCTAGCCAACTAATCACTCCACCAATGTAATCTGTGATTGGTTCCCCAGAGGGTGGTCTCAGCCATGCGTCAGCGAGGTCTCTGTCCCTGTCGGAGTTTGGGGGAGCAGATCGGAGCCCCATGGTGGTGCACCCAAACCCCCATCCCCGCAGCCCTCACACCCCCTCCAGCCCACCTCCTGTCCTCCATGACCTGCAGCGGTCAGAGAGCAGCTCCTATGTCCTCCTCAACCTCGCCAAAGGTACAGAGACGCAGGGCCCAAGCAACCATATGAAATACGATTTTATTGGTCCCATGTGCCGAATACAACAGGTGTAGTAGACTTTACAGTGAAATGCTTACTTACAAGCCCATTCCCAACACTGCAGAGTTAAATAGTACACTAATTGAAGTGGATTTAACAAGAGACATCAATAAGGGATCTTAGCTTTCACCTGGTCAGTCTATCTCATTTACATACAGTACCAGTCAAAAGTTTGGACACACCTACTCATTCAAGGGGTTTTCTTTATTTTTACTATTTTCTACATTGTAGAATAATAATGAAGACATCAAAACAATGAAATAACACATATGGAATCATGTAGTAACCCAAAAAGTGTTAAACAAATCAAAATATATTTGACATTTTATGTTATTCAAAGTAGCCACCCTTTGCCTTGAAGACAGCTTTGCACACTCTTGGCATTCTCTCAACCAGCTTCACGAGGAATGCTTTTCCAAAAATCTTGAAGGAGTTCCCACATATGCTGGGCACTTGTTGGCTGCTTTTCCTTCACTCTGTGGTCCAACAAAACCATCTCAATTGGGTTGAGGTAGGGTGATTGTGGAGGCCAGGTCATCTGATGCAGCTCTCCTTCTTGGTCAAATAGCCCTTACACAGCCTGGAGGTGTGTTTTGGGTCATTGTCCTGTTGAAAAACAAATGATAGTCCCACTAAGCGCAACCTAGATGGGATGGCGTATCGCTGCAGAATGCTATGGTAGCCATGCTGGTTAAGTGTGCCTTGAATTCTAAATAAATCACAGACAGTCACCAGAAAAGCACCCCCACACCATCACTCCTCCTCCATGCTTCATGGTGGGAACCACACATGCAGCGATCATCGGTTCACCTACTCTGCGTCTCACAAAGACACGTCGGCTAGAACCCCATTGCTCGTGTTTCTTGGCCCAAGCAAGTCTCTTCTTATTGGTGTCCTTTAGTAGTGGTTTCTTTGCAGCAATTCGACTATGAAGGCCTGATTCACGCAGTCTCCTCTGAACAGTTGATGTTGAGATGTGTCTGTTATTTGAACTCTGTGAAGCATTTTATTTGGGTTGCAATTTCTGAGGCTGGTAACTAATGAACTTATCCTCTGCAGCAGAGGTAATTCTGTGTCTTCCTAACCTCGGGCGGTCCTCATGAGAGCCAGTTTCATCATAATACTTGATGTTTTTTGCGGCTGCATACATTCAAAGTTCTTGAAATTGTGCGGATTGACTGACCTTCATGTCTTAAAGTAATGATGGACTGTCATTTGTCTTTGCTTATTTGAGCTGTTCTTACCATAATATGGACTTGGTCTTTTACCAAAAAGGGCTATCTTCTGTATACCACCTCTATCTTGTCAATTTGAGATTTTTGGTTCCAACCGCCGTGTCTTTGTGAGACGCAGAGTAGGTGAACGGATGATCTCTGCATGTGTGGTTCCCACCGTGAAGCATGGAAGAGGAGGTGTGATGGCGTGGGGATGCTTTGCTGATGACACTGTCTGTGATTAATTTAGAATTCAAGGCACACTTAACCAGCATGGCTACCACAGCATTCTGCAGCGATACGCCATCCCATCTGGTTTGGGCTTAGTGGGACTATCGTTTGTTTTTCAACAAGACAATGACCCAACACACCTCCAGGCTGTGTAAGGGCTATTTGACCAAGAAGGAGAGTGATGGAGTGCTGCATCAGATGACCTGGCCTCCACAATCCCCCGACCTCAACCCAATTGAGATGGTTTGGGATGAGTTGGACCACAGAGTGAAGGAAAAGCAGCCAACAAGTGCTCAGCATATGTGGGAACTCCTTCAAGACTTTTGGAAAAGCATTCCAGGTGAAGCTGGTTGAGAGAATGCCAAGAGTGTGCAAAGCTGTCATCAAGGCAAAGGGTGGCTACTTTGAATAACATAAAATGTAAAATATATTTTGATTTGTTTAACACTTTTTTGGGTTACTACATGATTCCATATGTGTTATTTCATAGTTTTGATGTCTTCACTATTATTCTACAATGTAGAAAATAGTAAAAATAAAGAAAAATCCTTGAATGAGTAGGTGTGTCCAAACCTTTGACTGGTACTGTATGTATTGAAATGAATTCTTTATTTAACTGTTATCTGTACTGTGGTGTGACAAAGCAGCTTTGCAATGCCAGGCAAATGCACCGACAAGTTTTATCATCTCATCTCCTCTGCACGCTCTGTCTGTGCCAGTCTCTGCCAGGCTCCGTCTCTGCCAGGCTCTGTCTCTGCCGGACAAATGATCACATTTATTGTCTTATGACCTTGTTTTATTTACATTGTAGGGCTGAGATAACATGTGACAAGGACAATTTATCATGCCCTGACAAACTGTCTTCCCTCTGTGTCTCCCTCTCCCTCCACCTCTCATTTTCTCTCTATCTCCCCCCTTTCTCCCTCTCTTTCCAGGCCTAGCAGCCTCCTCTGAGCCCCTAATCTTTTCAGCAGACGGGACAGAGGAGGAGGAAGAGGAGGTGATCTCGTCCGGGGACTGTTGTGTGGATGGCACTGCCCCCTGGTACCTGCGGGTACAGGAGTTGGCGCACGACAGCCTCATCGCAGCAACGCGGGCACAGCTGGCTAAAGATGCCAAGGCTAGCCAGGACGCAAGGGCTGGGAATGGCAGCAACAGTAATGTCACTTCTTCTTTGGTTTTTATGGTGGTGGGTAAATTGACTTTAATGGGGGTTTATTGCCACCAACTGATCACTGACTGAAGAGCAGGTGTGACATTTAGCTGATACTAACTATATAGAAAAACACTATAAAATGTACAGGAAGACTTCTGTTTAGGATATCACTCGCTGCTTCTGTTGCCTAGGTGACCGCCTGCCCAGCTTCCCGTCGGAGGGGGCAAAGAGAGAGCAGCCGGCGAGGACCAATCGTACAATGTCGTCTAAACAGATCCTCCGCTGCTCCTTTGAGGGCTGCTACAGAACCTTCACCTGGCCTGCTCACCTCAAATACCACCTCAAAACACACAGGTACACACTCACACTCACACACACACACACTCAAATATCACCTCAAATGTTCATGTGTGTGTATGTCAGGAACGACCGTACGTTCCAGTGTGGGGCGGAGGGCTGTGGGAAGAGTTTCTACGTACTGCAGCGTCTGCAGGTCCACATGAGAACTCACAACGGAGACAAGCCCTTCATCTGCAAGGAGAAGAACTGTGGCAAGAAGTTCACTACCGCAGGAAACCTCAAGAACCACAAACGCACACACACAGGTGGGGACAGTGCCACACGCTTAGAGGTACACAGCAGTAGAGCACATACACCGGAACAACATCTGTTTTAGTCTGCTCTGTATTCTGTAGTACAGCATAGAAATAAAGTGATTGTCTTTCATATGTTTCAGGTGTTTTCAGTGCTGTGGGAAGATATGTGCTTAGTGTGTTTGTGTGGGAGAGTGGTATAATGCTTGGTCTGTGAGAAAGTGTTATCATTAATATGTGTTGTCTACATTTGAGAAGCCTTCATATGTACTTTCAAGCATGTGATCATTCATTGGTGTGTGTGTGTTGTCTATAGGTGAGAAGCCTTTCTTGTGTGAAGCAGATGGCTGTGGCCGTTCCTTTGCAGAGTACTCCAGTCTACGCAAACACATGCTCGTACACTCAGGTGAGAACAACACACCCACAGATAAGTTAATCAAATCTGCATGCCAGAATTGACCTACTAGCACAGGGGTAGGCAACCCTGGTCCTGGAGGGCTGCAGGCACTTCATGTTTTTGATTTAACTGACCTGGAAGACCAGTGTGTTGAATTTAGGCAATCATTGAACTGATCAATTGGCTCAGTTGGTCAGGTGTGGTGCCTAGCTGGATCAAAATCCTGCAGTACCTGGGGCACTCCAGCAAAAGGGTTGCCTACCCCTGTACTAGCATTTAAACTCGCCAGTTTCAGCATTTCATTCTATACGTAGTGAAATTTATAACAGCTAGGTTGCTTTAACTACCGGTATAACAACTGAATATGTGGAAGTCGAGTTCCTACTGTCTAAGAGCACAGTTTAAAAATGTAATTATGTTAACAGTCAGTCAGAACTTTAGCTTCAGTTTGTGTCACTGTGTGCATCTCAAATGGCACCCTATTCCCTATATAGTGCACTCTTTTTGACCAGAGCCTTATGGCCTTGTGCTCCAAAGTAGTGCACTTTATAGGGAATAAGGTGCCATTTGAGATGCAACCACTGAAAAGTGTTCCTGTGTATCATTGTGTTCTAGGAGAGAAGCCCCACCAGTGTGGGGTTTGTGGAAAGACGTTCTCTCAGAGCGGCAGCAGGAACGTCCACATGAGGAAGAGACATGGAGAGGAGGTGCTGGGGAACGAGGGCAGAGAAACAGGTAATAAACAAACTAGGCCAATGGTCACCAACCCTGGTTACAGGGTGTAGAGGCTTTTTTTCCAATTCCAACCCAACACACTACACCTAATTTAGCCGGAGCCTTGGAGTTTACGTGTGTGTGTAACAGGCTCGTTTTCTTCCATCTGGAATGTTCGATATGACACACACACACACACACACACACACCTCTGTAATGAACAGTATGTGTGATTGACAGGCGAGGCTCTGACACACAGCAGTTTGCTGGAGGCTGACGGGTCACCTGGCGACAACATGGTCACCATGACTACGGGGGTGGAGCCCATGAACCTACACCACGCCATGCTGCGAGAACAAGGTAGACGCGCACACACACACACACACACACACACACAAAACGTCTCACAAATGCAAAACCCCAATAAATCACATTTTATTTGTAAAATGTGCCGAATACAACTGGTGTAGACTTTACCATGAAATGCTTAACAGTCCAATCCCAATACTCTTAAAGAGATAGTGTGAGATTCTGGAAATCATTTTATTCCCCCATCTACCTGGATTTAGATGAACTCATGGATACCATTTGTAGTCCCCTGTAGCGCAGTTGGTAGAGCATGGCGCTTGTAACGCCAGGGTTGTGGGTTCGTCTCCCACGGGGGGGCAGTATGAAAATGTATGCACTCACTAACTGTAAGTTGCTCTGGATAAGAGCGTCTGCTAAATGACTAAAATCTATGTCTCTCCGTCCAGTATGATGGAAGTTAGCTTCGCGAGCCAATAATAACTAGCGTTAGCGCGATGACTGGAAGTCTACCACTAGATGTGTAGTACTGAACGCCCTTCATACTGAACGCAGACATAAATTGTATCCATGAGTTCATCTGACTCTGGGTAAGTAGAAAGTCTCGCACTATCCCTTTAACAGTTAGCGATGGCGTTATGGTATTTTTCAGGACTCAAACCAAGGGTATCGTCCAAAACCACGGGGGGATATATTGCCTAACTATGGCCATGTTAGTTATTTAATTAGCCCCATGTGCCTTCTAACTCATCTCTTCTTCCCTTCGTTTCCTTCCTGCGTCTAGGCTCGGCAGACTCCGTGGTCGTTCTCTCTCAACCCCATGACCTGGTCACCATGACAACGGCAAGCCACACGTATGCAGAGGATGTGGTGGCTTTGCTGTAGTCAAGGCTTTTCTGCAAATCTCAGTTCTCACTTCAGGAAAGGCATTTGAGGCAGAACCCTCTACATGGATGCATCTTTCACTGTGGCTGCGTTTAGACAGGCAGCCCAATTCTGAGCTTTTTTTTCACTCTTTGGTCTTTTGACCAATCAGATAAGATCTGATGTGATTGGTCAAAAGGCCAATTAGTGGAAAAAATATCCATATTGGGCTACCTGTCTAAACGTGGCCTTTTAGCCCTGTAGATATATATAATTAACTGCTGAGGGTTTTATGAGAAGACAGTGTCAAATGTTCTAGAACTTGTACAGACAGACTTTTTCTGTAGTTTATACATATAAGGAATTATCAGGTGACTTTCCAAAGAAATAAAGACAGGTATACAAATAATGTTTTATTAATTAACAGAAGGTACATGAAAAATGTATAGCTACCTGTATTTGTCATTGTTAAACAACATACTAAATCAATTGTGTAACCTTGCCTGGGTGCAGATAAGGCTAAAATGCAGTGCACTTTCTTTTGTAAATATTAAGGCTGATGCTTTTAGCTTCACAAATTAATCAAGGGCTCGATTCAATTCGTATCGTTGAAGTTCAGCACTAAAGCGCGATTGAAATTTAAGGCAATGTTCCCACGTTGAGACTGTGTTCACGGTAAACGCTGCATATGTCAGTCCAATCATTAACAAAAAGGAAACTGAAAACAGTTTCAAACTCACAAGCTGCTATTGGAACGAAGGTACAGTTAGTAGTTAATGCACAGCTGCATGTAGCACAATGGAACACAATATTTTTGCCAAGCACATTCTACACACACATACAGTGGGGGAAAAAAGTATTTAGTCAGCCACCAATTGTGCAAGTTCTCCCACTTAAAAATATGAGAGAGGCCTGTAATTTTCATCATAGGTACACGTCAACTATGACAGACAAATTGAGAAGAAAAAAATCCTGAAAATCACATTGTAGGATTTTTAATGCATTTATTTGCAAATTATGGTGGAAAATAAGTATTTGGTCACCTACAAACAAGCAAGATTTCTGGCTCTCACAGACCTGTAACTTCTTCTTTAAGAGGCTCCTCTGTCCTCCACTCGTTACCTATATTAATGGCACCTGTTTGAACTTGTTATCAGTATAAAAGACACCTGTCCACAACCTCAAACAGTCACACTCCAAACTCCACTATGGCCAAGACCAAAGAGCTGTCAAAGGACACCAGAAACAAAATTGTAGACCTGCACCAGGCTGGGAAGACTGAATCTGCACTAGGTAAGCAGCTTGATTTGAAGAAATCAACTGTGGGAGCAATTATTAGGAAATGGAAGACATACAAGACCACTGATAATCTCCCTCGATCTGGGGCTCCACGCAAGATCTCACCCCGTGGGGTCAAAATGATCACAAGAACGGTGAGCAAAAATCCCAGAACCACACAGGGGGACCTAGTGAATGACCTGCAGAGAGCTTTGACCAAAGTAACAAAGCCTACCATCAGTAACACACTACGCCGCCAGGGACTCAAATCCTGCAGTGCCAGACGTGTCCCCCTTTAAGCCAGTACATGTCCAGGCCCGTCTGAAGTTTGCTAGAGTGCATTTGGATGATCCAGAAGAGGATTGGGAGAATGTCAGATGAAACCAAAATATAACTTTTTGGTAAAAACTCAACTTGTCGTGTTTGGAGGACAAAGAATGCTGAGTTGCATCCAAAGAACACCATACCTACTGTGAAGCATGGGGGTGGAAACATCATGCTTTGGGGCTGTTTTTCTGCAAAGGGACCAGGACGACTGATCTGTGTAAAGGAAAGAATGAATGGGGCCATGTATCGTGAGATTTTGAGTGAAAACCTCCTTCCATCAGCAAGGGCATTGAAGATGAAACGTGGCTGGGTCTTTCAGCATGACAATGATCCCAAACACACTGCCCGGGCAACGAAGGAGTGGCTTCGTAAGAAGCATTTCAAGGTCCTGGAGTGGCCTAGCCAGTCTCCAGATCTCAACCCCATAGAAAATCTTTGGAGGGAGTTGAAAGTCTGTGTTGCCCAGCGACAGCCCCAAAACATCACTGCTCTAGAGGAGATCTGCATGGAGGAATGGGCCAAAATACCAGCAACAGTGTGTGAAAACCTTGTGAAGACTTACAGAAAACGTTTGACCTGTGTCATTGCCAACAAAGGGTATATAACAAAGTATTGAGAAACTTTTGTTATTGACCAAATACTTATTTTCCACCATAATTTGCAAATAAATTCATTAAAAATCCTACAATGTGATTTTCTGGAATTTTTTTCTCATTTTGTCTGTCATAGTTGACGTGTACCTATGATGAAAATTACAGGCCTCATCTTTTTAAGTGGGAGAACTTGCACAATTGGTGGCTGACTAAATACTTTTTTCCCCACTGTACCAGCTTCAATTTTTTTTATGAAAAGACAGATCAGACCCAACTGATATCAGACGGTCAAAATATCCAGATTTATACAGTATTTGCAGTAACACAACTATGTGGAGTTTCAGCCCCCAGTGCTTTAATAGAGAAGTACATAATACAAGCCTACAATATAGCAGCCAGTCACAACATGAAAACAACAGACCTACTGAACTATGGTACCAGCCATATACGTGTTGGGTAACAAAATAGTTAACAATTGTAATTCCATCTCAAATGTGAAATCTTGCAAGTTGAACATAAGGCAAAGATACAAGTTTGGCATATCTTTAAGACATTACAATTCGCAACAAGACACAAAGGCTTATCAGTCCATTTCTTGTTGAGCACCATGTAAACCAGTGATCCCACCCAACCCTGTGGCTCTTTGTCTCTCAGTGGATCTTTAGGTTCTGGAAGTGGTTGAACGTGGCACCTAAAGCCCAGCTTGTCTCCACGTTGTTCACCTTCTTAGTCAGCTGGAGAAAGGAGACAACACACACCAAATCACTCATGCCTTTTTGTATTTATTTAAGTAAAAATGTCTAACTGATCTTGTGTCTGACCATTTCTTTGTTGCTAGCTTTAAAAAGTGTGGTTTTGTGTTACTGAATTGCCAAAAGGACTATTGTGCATTATGACTTCACTGTCTCACCTGCAGTACAGTGTTCTCCTTGAAGCCGAAGCCATCTTTGAGCAGACAGGTGATGTAGGTCATGTCCATACACAGGAAGGGGCTGACCGGACGGTACTTAGACATCTTGTTACACACTGGAACATGAAACAGAAATCCACTTCCAGATCAGTGAAACGAGGAGAGGAAGGCACCTTTAAGCCATTCAGACTTCTCAAGCATAGTGCAGTAAGGGCTAGAGCTAGCCAACACCCGCATAGCTGCTGTTTTGACGGTGTGGGAAGGAAGCTGCGTTCCAGCTGTCAAATCCAGCGGATTCCGGCATTATAGCTATCGCGGACATTGCCATTGGCTGCACGGAGTCACATTAATAGGAAGTTTGAACACTGGAATGTGTGATGTTATCTACACCTTGATGAGGCTGATTTTTTAAACAATGATTTTTAATTTGAGCATCATTATTTCTATATAGCCTACACTTTCTCATTTTTAACTTCTAACATGAGTGGGACGGGTGTGGCTTTGTGACAATGATCACAAGAGCTGCTCCAACGCAGTTACACCTCTGACACCGCCAAAATATCAGCTATGCGGGTGTCGGCTATTGCTGGTTAACGCTTGATCTGATTAAATCTAGGCCTAAGCCTTGTGCCCACCAGTATGTATGCGTTCAGCCAGAAGTCCATTCACTTCAATGGGAGGCAATCCACACAGCTGGGATTCATCTGCCAGACTAGGTTGCGGTGCGTGCAGCGTGTCACATGCGTTTTTATTTTATGTTATTTTTTTGCTCAGAAAACCTGGATGGCCAAGTTGGGGAACCCTGCACAACACAGTAATGATAAATCCATTGCTATGCGCAGTATTTCTATGTATTTGAAAAATGTATTTCAATTCTGAGTAATTTGTCATTTGTATTACACTGGGCTGAACTACACTCCTATGTGTTTTGTAACAAGATACTTTCGAGAGCTGTCATTTGTATTTTCAAAATACTTTTCTATCCCATTTTTTATAGCAGTTCACCATTTTGTTGCTCCCTTTCACCTGGAGTTGGTATCAGGAGTCCGATGGCACTACGGTCTGATAAGAGCTATCATTTTGGTATGTTAATATATTCTTTACATATACATTTACATTTAGGTCATTTAGCAGACACTTATCCAGAGTGACTTACAGTCGGGGCACTCAACTAAGGTAGATAAAGTACAAGTAAAACGTTACTGTTTGGGCCGGCTACTTGCAAATATATATCTGTATTTTAAAATACAAAATACATGTATTTTGTATTTTAAAATACAAAATACATGTATTTTAATTAAATACATTTCAAAATACAAGTATTTTGTCGTTTATTTTGATACATCGATCTTTATGGTATTTTGTATTTGTGGCTTAACTTGTTCTCACCCTCTTTAGCTCCCTTCTTGAAGTCCCTGACCTCCAGCATTCCTCCTTGGGTCCCGTCTGAAAGAGAGGAACGACGGGGGGTCGTTAATCTTTCCTTCAGAAACACTGTCATCACACTGTATCATTCAATACAATGAGAGCAGGGCTACACTAACCCTATACATCTCCATCATACTAATAGGGCCTGTAACCTTTCTCATCATCTTACAACACTGACAAGTCGACGACCACGGACACCACTCTAATAACTACACATCTAGAACTCATCACACCACTGAGTCTGAGTCAGTTACCTCAGTAATTAGCTATTTTTCCCTGTCGAGTGGGAGGAAGGGAAAGGATCTCATTCTAGGAGTCATTATACTAACTGTGTGTGTGTGTCCTCTCACTAGCCCGTTTATACCTGGTTCTAACATGCGTCCTTTGTCCTGAGCTTATCCACATTCCGATTGTTCCCACATTGAAGCCATTGCATCTACACACGGTAGTAAAATGTGTCTTATCCGTCCACTGTGTCAGCATTGTGACTAGATATCCTGGTCCCGCCCTGTATGAAATTATTTTACAGATATTACTTGAAAATATTTTTATTTTAAGACACATATTGATGCCAAAAGTCAATGGTGTAACCTGTCAATGTTTGTAGAGGGTGGGATAATGATGATTTAAATGGTTTCACTGTCCAGATCCGTCTACACTTGTAAGATATCCAGACACAATGTGTGCCTGACTACATCCGGAGGTGGTCAGGAAGGTCTGATCACAATGCGTCGTAATCGTTTACACCTGTTGTGGGCACAATCAGAATGTGGACAAGATCAGGACAAAGGACAATTGTTGGAACCAGGTATAAACAGGGCTACTGATGCGTCCACTGCTCGGTTGTAGTAGAAGTTGTGTGTGTGTGTGTTCTCACCAATAAGGCCTGCATCCACGGCTCGGTCAAAGTAGTACGAGAAAGCATAGAACACACTGGTGTCTTTCAACTCATAGGGATGGTGAACCATTCCCTTTACCACCTTCAACACCTCCTGGTAACACAGCTTGTATCCCGCATAACCTGGGACAGGGACCGAAACAGGATACTGTTATGACCTCAATTTTTCAATCAATACAATGCATTTGTATAGCACTTTCATACACATTTGTGACAAACTGCTTTACAGCAACCCCAGGTAAACCCTAGTACCCTGCATAGGAAGACACTTTCAGAGGTACCAAGTTCGGCATGCTACGTTTTGTGTTACCACCCAAATAACTGTTCCAAGGTACATTTTACGCACACCATATGTAAAATGTATGCATGCATGACTGTAAGTCACTTTGGATAAAAGCGTCTGCTAAAGGGAATATATTATATTAAGGTTGTTCTATTACAGTACATATTTGATGGTAGTTCTAGCAGATCCAGTGAGTTGGTTGACTCTCACCATCAGGTATCCCGCTGACTGTGTATGTGAGTCCTCCAAAGCTCCACTCCTCTCTGAACTTCTTGGGCAGACAGGAGCTTTTGAACACTCTCCACTCCAACCCTGTAGTGTAAAGTAACAAAATAATGATGTATGGGGGTCTATGAATAACATAGCAAAGTGAAAAGATGTTGCATGTTCTAAAACCTATATTGTGTGTGAATTGGGGATTCTAACATGCTGATGATGATATGTAAAGGAATGTTAGGGCTCGATTCAATCTGTATTGACGAAGTTCAGCGTTATAGTGCAATTGAAATTTAAAGGTAATTACATTTCTATCTGAGTGTATCGCAGCTCTTGAGCGCTACGGATTGAATCGAGCCATTACCTTCTGCCCCCAGTGCTCCTAGGGCTGCCAGTCTGGCTGCCATCAGTCCATTACCCAGGTAGCTGTCAATCAAATCAATAAATTAATAGTTATTTGGATAGCACTTTTACAAACTATTACGGTTTTGTTATTAAGAACAATTACTCGTGACTGTTTATACTTTCTGCATCAGTGGATTTAGATTGTTTACCTGTGAGTGTACAGTTCATATGTAGAGTTGAACATGTCAAGTCTGGCAATGTAGTCAGCAGGAGAACTTTCAATGGTTTTCTGCACAGGACAAATAAATATGTGAAGAAATGTATGCATGTCTAACTGATCTTCTGCTAACTGATCTTCTGGATAAAAGCGTCTGCTAAATGGCATATATTATATTATTCATATTAAAATATAAACACTGTATCAACGTAGTGTAGAAACACAATATTGAAAATAAATCAACTTGTACAAATGGACCCTAACCTTGCATTTGGGTAGAAAAGTGATTTGAGTTGATCCTCCCCCCAGATCCAGAATCCCCACTGTCTTCCTGGTCTCAGCATACAGGTGACCTAAAAAAAGAAGTTCACATTTGAACCAACTTTATCGACAAGTTCCCTCTGAAGACGGCGAGATAGGAATCAGTCACACTTCTGATTTGGTACAGCCCAGGATCTGTATCCAGAGGTGTGAAACACGCTGTGGAGATCTGATAAAGATGATAGGAGTCCCTTTGAGGAATAAAACCCTACTCAGTATCGACTATGGTTGTACAAGTTGAGGTTATCTTCTGGAGAGCCAGGGTTTATGAGAAATAAAAAATGTCATTGCCATTTCAGATGTCTTTGAGTTTATGTACAGTATGTCTATATATATATATATGGCCAACCCTACACCCTGATAATAGAATAGTCTGACCAAAAATTTATGAAAAGTTAAAAGAATTCATTACAATATGTACTATGACAAGAAGTTACAAGTCTCACCTGTCAAAAAGTTCACAGTAACCCACGCCAAAATTCCTACGAGAACAAAAAAGTTCAATTCAAGTGGGGTTAATACTGATCTGACAATGCAGTTTAGTGCAGTTACCTCACAACTTGTTTGACATGCATAAGCATTCGTTTTACGTGTGAGAGAGCTATCATTTGAGAGACGTGGTCAAAATGCTGACAAATCAATTAAACAATGACACCACACGAGGCTTGGTAAACCACTAAATCCATTCACCACATAATTACACATTTTTGAGATGTAACCAACACTGCCTCTAACGACAACAACCCTCTTTTTCCAACAGCGTCATCATAACAGATCAGGGTAATCTACAGTAATTTAGTAAAACAGCCTCAGGAAAACCAACACCATGAAAAATAAAGAGCACAGCAAGCTGTAGAAGGAGAACAGTGACTGATGCTACCAGGAGGAGAGCACTGCTGAAGCCTGCCACCGAAGTGCTGATGAATAGGTTTGACTGGAGGTTGACTGGGGGTTATTGGTAGACGAGACGAGACTTTACCTTCATTTGTACCATCCATTATGCTGACGCTGTCATCTGGGACGAAGAAGGGAGATTCATCAAACACGTCCTGCACCTGAGGGGTAGAGTGGGAAGATAGAGAGATGACAACAGAAAGAGTGAATGTAGTGTCAACACCTTCGGCAGTGCCATACTTGATTTAGTAGAGCCGTACACTAGCCCCCCAACTCCCAACTCCCTACACAGTAGCCCCCTATCAGATCAAGCAGTGCCCTAGCCAGTACCTGTTCCAGTAGACCCTGGGCTTTCTCTGGGGGCAGCAGCCTGAGCCCTGCTGTAGCTTTCAGGACCAGTGGGGTTCTCTTCCAATCCAGCCGAGGGACGGTCTTCTTAGCCACCTTCAGAAGCTGCCTCACTGTGTACCCACCCTGGGGAGATAACGTGGTTGCGATGATGATGATGATGATGAATTTGAGCAAAATCTATTTAAAGTGTTTTGGGAATATTGGAATATCACTTGCTGCATCGACAATTACAACCGCTACTGTACTCACCATTTCAGGCATGTCTGCGTATGCTGACAGACCAGGCTTGATGGAATGGAACATCTCATTATCCAACACTGGTAACTCTGTCAGACAAAATATACAAATGAACCATCAGTCAACAGATAAAGATATACAATTGAAATTACAAAATCCACTCGGATCAATAAGCATTTAATCTACAATTTGCAAACATTAATGATGTTTTATGAAGATGGGTATTTTGTGTAATGTTCATTGACTAGCATCTAATAATACACACATTTATTTTGAAATAAATGGGCAATTCAACTCCACAACATTGCATAGAGTAACACATCTGGGAGCATCTAAATACCTCTCTCTCCAGTAGAATTTTAACATAACTCACCAGGGTCTTTCTGTATGAAGGTATAGACGTGGATGCGTGTCCCAGTGCTGCCAGCGTCAAACATTACCCCGTAGAAGATCCGGCTGGAGTTGGCTGGACGGCTGAGGCTGGGGAGGAGGTTACCCAGGCTGGCTGAGAAATCCAGGACAGAAGCCTTGGGCTGGGGCTGGGCATGGGACAGCCCTGTCAGAGCCAACACAACCAGAACCAGAGACAGGACCACTGCAGGTAGGAGAGGAGCCTGGAGAGACATCTTCACTCTGGCGAAGGAGCAGGATATGAGTGTCCCTCTGATGGGTACGAAGCCAAGAGATTAGGCTAAACCTGATGGACTAATGGGTATCTTAGTCAACTCAACTAATAGGGGAATGGAGACTGAGGCAGTTGTGTAGAGGAAAGTTTAGTTTAGCCAACAGCACGCTAGATAGCCTAATTGACACTGCTTCTGAGTCCTGACCTAACTGGATAGAAGATACAACATCCCAACTAGAAGCAACAACCAACAGAAGAGCCCCAAAGCAATAACATGCAGTTATATGCCATTTGATCACACCCCAACTAGCCATTCACCAATCAGAAGTGAGCCTTCTGGAGGATGAAGTGCACACTTCCACCTTGACACTGTTCCAATAGCAGGATTATGTTAGACAAATGTACAGTACTCCCCCCTACTACGGTTCCTACATTAGTTTTGGAGCCAGGGGTGTCACCAAAGCTGTGTTATATTCATTAGGTATGTTGTAGCTAATTGTCAGTGGTGGAAAAAGTACCCAGTTGTCATACTTGAGTAAAAGTAAAGATACCCTAACAGAAAATGACTCAAGTAAAAGTCACCCAGTAAAATACTACTTGAGTAAAAGTCTAAGTATTTGGTTTTAAATATACTTTAGTATCAAAAGTAAATGTTTTTGCTAAAATATACTTAAGTATCAAAAGTAAAAATACGAATAATTAAAAATTCCTTATATTAAGCAAACCAGACGGCAAAATGTTCTTGTTTTTTACATTTACGGATAGCTAGGGGCACACTACAACATCCTTTACAAACAAAGCATTTGTATTTAGTCCGCCAGATCAGAGGCAGTAGGGATGTTCTCTTGATAAGTGTGTGAATTTGACCATTTTCTGTCCTGCTAGCCATTCAAATGGAGTTTAAAGTTTTAAAAAATATTTAGGAATGTAGTGAAGTAAAAGTAGTTGTAGTGTTGTCAAATTCCCAAGGACATAGATAGCTACCTGCAAACTTAACACTGCATGCAAAGAAACGAAAGCTAGCTGCTACCTTTATAGCGGCATGGTATGTAAATGTTGGGAATTCAAATGGGAACAAAAGTTGATAGCTATTTAACTCATTTCTGAAGTTGACCCAGGCCGTTGCACGACTTGCAATTGACAAACTTGCTAGCTAGCTAATCGGTCACTTCTTCCTAAGAAACCACAAAATGTATTATTGTGCATTTAAAAAATGTATACATTTATTCTCGGGCAACACATGTAGTCCCATTCATAAACACACATATCTATCTAGCTCGCTAGTTTACGATGTAATTATTCATTTCGACAGCTACTCAGCTGGATGGCATACGTCATCAATGTTATGATCACGCAAGTGACCTTATGGCTCTGTCGAACTACTGATGAAAGAAAAAAGAAACATTCTAATGTATATTGTTGTTTCCATACATTAGGGTAATCCTGCTGACAATGTAAATAAAGACCATAAAAGGTTAATCCCGAGAGAATGAACATACTGAGTAAACAAAACAATCAGCTCACCCATTTTCAGCATGTTTCCGATGCAGTCAGGAGAAACCCACTGTAATTATTTTTGTGCCAGCACAGCAGAAGCATATTTCTATTGTTTTGATTTTGCAACAAGTATAATGGTCTGTCTGTCAAAACAGAGGAATTTCTTAGGCAGAAAAATACCAGGCTTTAAGGCATTCCTTATGTAGCTATTGCTTGTGGGTGAGGATTAGTCTATGAACAGTTAATCTTGAAGTTTGAAACTCTGCCATTTTACTGTTCACGTAGGGGACGATTAAAATTGAGGAAATGTAAGCCTTTTCTGCACACTTCCCAGTAGTTGGTATTGGGCGCAGTTGAGTGGTAAGGCTAAAGCAACCGACTGTAGACGAAAATCGAGGAGTGAAGTCGGGGTAGGTGCAACTGCGACAGCTGAAAGTCGGACTCTAATGTGGTTTTCCAACAGCAAGGCTCAGATCAACCCTGCAGTTGCTATTATTTATAAAAGTGTTTCTTTATGTCAAAATAAAAGTCTCCAAGCCCATATCACACACTCAAACGTAAATCATGTCTGTACAATCAATTAGTGAGAAAGAACATCAAATATCACATTCATCATATCCACTGTAGGCTAAACATGAATTGCAGCAAAGTTGGTTCCCTTTTCATTCATGTGTGGTCACGTTCGCGTGGGTCACACAAAAACTCCATAATGATTGGTTGACAACACAGCCTCCCACTATGCAGGTGATGGCTGCAGGATGAAGTTGGTGAAGAGCAGCTGCAGAAACTTGCAGTCAACTGCAGTCCAAACTTCATGACCTTTGTAAAGTTCATGCAGTCGACATGTAGGCGCAAGTCGGACAATTTAATTCCCAATCATGCACCACACTTTGAAAGGCGGTGACCAACGATGGTCACGACTTGACAAAATTGATCCGCTCGAAGGCGCCCAATCAGACTTACCTTATGCAGGCATGTAATGTGCTCTACATGTGTGGCTACCTTGCGGGTACTGAATACATTTAAACGAAGAGGCGAAGTGAGAGGGATAACTGGTGGAGTTTTTTTTTTCGCTCACCAAGCAAGGAGTTTTTGTATGGCTTATTTGCTACGTGTGGCTTATTTGTTCGAATAGAAGTTTCGTAGTGATTAGATTGTTACAAGTGTACTGATAAGTAGAACACGTGACATCCCGGTAACTTTGAGAAAAAAAACACTTTATATCGGAGTTGTATCGAGGTTCAACTTAACCCTAACCACACTGCTAACATTATGACTAACGTTAAATTCAAACCAAAAATCACATTTTTATTTTTATACATTTTTACAATATAGCCAATTTTGACATGGTGGCTGTGGTTAATAGTGGAAACCATTGTGATGGGCGTTCACACGCTTATCTGCCCTCTCATTGGCTAGAATGGTCCCACCTGATCTTGCCTTCTCCAGACTGCCTTCCATTTTTCAATACATTTATTTTCATTGTTAGAGTAGCCACTTGAGTAATCTGTGATAAATATGTTATTATAAACTGGGTGGTTCGAGCCTTGAATGCTGATTGGCTGAAAGCCGTGGTATATCAGACCGTATGAAAAAGAAAAGGAGAGCCACACATTCTAGGAGCTCAGACGCAATAATTTAATAACGTTGGTTATTAATCAGGGTGTAATGACAAACACTGCTGGTCACTAGTTTATATAGTGTCAAAGGACACACACAGGTGTCTGTAATCATGGCCGGGTGTGGCCTGATATCATTGGTTAATTCACAGATAAACAGAACATACAAAAAACATGAATAGATAGCATACAATCATAGATACAACTTGGCTACATAGGCCCACAAACATTTACAATGAATAGCAAAATCACAATAATCACAAGAATGGCTTCAAATCAAAGTCTATGTTGAGACCGAAGGGACCAAGGGTCTTTAAATTAAAGATCCAGGCAGCCTCTCGTTTTAACAAGTTGTCGAGGTCACCCCCTCTCCATGTTCGATGCCGATATAATGTAGGGACGAAATCGAGTGGTTCGCTTCCAAAAAGTGGGCCACGACTGGGTATGTCGAGTTTTTGCAGCTAATGGTGCTACGATGCTCAGAGACTCGTACTTTTAATTTGTGCTTTGTTTTATCCACAATTTTTACCACAAGGACAAGTTATAAGATAAATAACTGCCTTAGTGGAGCACGTAATAACACCTTTGATTGGGATCTGTTTCCCTGTTTGGAGGTGTTTGAAGGATCTACATTTGTAAGTGCCATTGCATTGAGCGCAGCCATTACACTTGTAGTTTCCATCCGGAAGAGGCGCAAATCAGACCGTATACAACGGGTATGACAAACCATTTATTTTTACTCTTCTAATTACGTCGGTAACCAACTTATAATAGCAATAAGGCACCTCAGGGGTTTGTGGTATATGGCCAATATACCACGGCTAAGGGCTGTATTCAGGCACTCTGCGTTGAGAATAGCCCTTAGCTGTGGTATGGTGGCCATATACCACACCCCCTCGGGCCTTATTGCTTAATTCAACCGCTAAAAACCCTCCCACTTGCTGGCCAACTGATTTTCTGGTTGGGGTTTCAGTTTATCTTAAAGTTGAACTATGCAGAAATTGCGCTGCCCTTTCCTGGTTGCTAAAACTCGAATAGTTATCCTAATTTCGGTTCGTGTGACAAAATAAGATAGTATAGTGTAGAGAATCATTGTACCGTCTAAACCGCTGTGAAATATATTTTCCATAACCAAAGAAATTATGTCAGCTGTTTGAAGCTGCTGTACAAAACCAAAAGTAAAAGACGCAAAAACAATACCCTTATTAAGCTCAGATGCATCCTGTTTCCATTGATCATCCTTGAGATGTTTCTACAACTTGGAGTCTACCTGTGGTAAATTCAATTAATTGGACATGATTTGGAAAGGCACACTTCGGTCTATATAAAGGTCCCACAGTTGACAGTGCATGTCAGAGCAAAAACCAAGTCATGAGGTCGAAGGAATTGTTCGTAGAGCTCTGAGACACAGATCTGGGGAAGGGTATCAAAAAATGTCTGCAGCATTGAAGGTCCCAAGAACACAGTGGTTAGAATAACAACAACAAAATCCAGAAAAACGCATGTCAAAAATGTTATAAATTGATTTGCATTTTAATGAGGGAAATAAGTATTTGACCCCCTCTCAATGAGAAAGATATCTGGCTCCCAGGTGTCTTTTATACAGGTAATGAGCTGAGATTAGGAGCACACTCTTAAAGGGAGTGCTCCTAATCTCAGTTTGTTACCTGTATAAAAGACACCTGTCCACAGAAGCAATCAATCAATCAGATTCCAAACTCTCCACCATGGCCAAGACCAAAGAGCTCTCCAAGGATGTCAGGGACAAGATTGTAGACCTACACAAGGCTGGAATGGGCTACAAGACCATCGCCAAGCAGCTTGGTGAGAAGGTGACAAGAGTTGGTGCGATTATTCGCAAATGGAAGAAACACAAAATAACTGTTAATCTCCCTCGGCCTGGGGCTCCATGCAAGATCTCA